AGGTCAAGCAAGGATCATGAACCAAGTAACGATGAAATAAGAGAACTGGGATTCACTTTATGAAAGTCCTGGAAGGGCCCAACCAGAGTGTGGCCCTAAACCCAACAGGGCATTTTTAAAGAGACCTGAAAATGACTCACACAACAAATCGTTAATCACGTCTGTAGTTTTTCCTTACCAAATGTTGCTTTCCCCTACCAAAATCTCTGGATATCTTCATTTTTATCAGTATGTGGTATATTGCTGTGAAAATCAACTTTCATATTGTCCGCTTTGGAAAGGCGTAAAAACTGGGTGACATGGGGACACATTATCAGACTTTCCAGCTGTTCAAACAGCTCATCTACAAAAGGTAAAGGAGCATGTAAAGGCCCTTAAACTCACAGTGTGAAACTCCCTCAACCTTCCCAGATTCAGTGGGGCACTTCCTAATTCCTCCAGTGTTCATGGAAACAGAGGCGAGGTCAACAGAGGTTGGGACGAATGGGAGCTGGGGACTGAGAGGACGAGAGGTCATGTGTGAAAGGAGCTCAGTCCCATGTGTCCACACAGACACACACCAAACACACATACAGAGTAAATGAGTATTGAGTATTAATAGAGTTTTATAGACCAGACATGGTTTATGCTAATGAGGCCCAAGGGTTATCAGAGATTCATAGTAATTTGACACTTTCTGTACAAAGTATAAAAGTCTCACTATGCAGAATCACATCTGCTACATGCTTCTGATACCTGTACAGTAATTCTGGTTTCACAGCATTTCACAGTAATTATGTACTGTAGGATTATATTCATATACTCATTATTGTATTTACTTTAATGACTTTTTCTTGTTAAATATATTTTTCTACATATTGCCATGAAATTAGGAAAGTTTGTGGTCTTTGAGATGATGAATCTCAAATACTTAGATGATTCCCTGACTTAGCACCACCATACAGCTGACATTTTTATATGAAATGTCTCAACAACTATTGGATGGATTACCATGACATTTGGTACACACATTCATATCCTCATCAGAATGAACTGTAACAACCTTAACCATCCATGTAGTGCCACCATCAGGTCAAAAATCCAATTTGTCCAATACTTTAATTTATAACCAAAATAGCTGAAAAACTAATGACATTCCTCTCAGCCTCATCTACACATTGTGTTTAGCGCTAGCTAATTCTATTAGCATGCTAATATGTTAAGCTAAGATGGTAAACATGGCAAACAAGGTCAGTATCAAAAGAGATAAATAAAAATACCGTTCCACTCTCTCAACATGCAGCATCTAAATCTAAAAACACATTATTTTCACAAGTGCCGCAAGGTAACATGAAACATAGCTCAATTTTAAATGTTCACACACAATGTTAGAGAACGTGGGGCCACACATCTACAGCCAGTGGACCTTCACACAGTTTGTGGATGTCACTGCTGGATGTTCACACACACATCTATTGGACAAGGTTGTTGTAAAGTCACATCAGCATGCAGGGACATCTTGCACGTGTGTTGCCTGTAAAGCACTTTGGGACATGTTCTGTGATCCATGACAGAGTAAAGGGCTGCAGACAAAGAGAGTTTGTGTGTTGTATGCATGTGTGTCTTACTGTGGCTCCACACAGGAAAATCCAGTCGCGTAAGCCTTTGTTATGGGTGCAGCTTCATTCAGAATATTTAACTATTTGCCACTCTTTGATTTGTTGGTCTGAAAAATGATGAAACACAAATATTTCATGTCCAAAGTGAAGCATTTATTCATGATAAAAACTAACTTTGAACCTTGAAAGTTCTCTAAAAAAAAAAAAAAAAACAAGAAACAAACAAACAAGGACAGGGATGTTTGTTTGGTTTGAGCCACTTTTGTATTAAAGTGGGATATATTGGAGCTTTCCAAAGGCTGTTGGGGTATTGATGTGAATACTACTGACATAGTAGAAACTGCTGATAATGATAATTTCAAAATAACACAAAACTGTATTAGAATATTTTGTTAGGTGTTATCAGTGTCTGGAATTAATCTACTTGCTCAAGCTCAATTTCTGTTTCCATGTTTTTAATCTGCACCAAAGAGGCACAAGGGATTTTAATGTGATAAGTTTCTGTTAATCAGGGTCTAGCTTTAGTATGTGATCATTCCAAATGTCACTTTTCCCGAGATAATAACCCCCGAGTTTCATGCAGTTTTGAAACGCTACCATGTAGTCTGTTAATTAAAGGTTTGGCATAGTTCCAGGGCTACAAACCACAGGGACAAGATCAACTCAATCAACTCAAAAAGCACAAATAACCCTGGCAATGTGGAGCTTATTTTGTTTGTACGACTAAGTCCTATGAATGAATTAAACCAGAAGTAATTTTGTTAGAAAAAGTAGAGGTGCTGCTGCTGCTGATATTAGTGGCAACAGGGCTGTGAGTCCATGTGTGTGTGTCACCGGGGGGGCATCAGACAGACCCCTAGACCAGCTGTTGTCCCCACCATCTCTCTCGCTTACGCACACATACATGTGCAGTATTTATGCACACACACAGACATACACCTACTTTCTTTACCAACCTCCACTCTGCTGCTTTGTGTTTTTCAACTGTGTGCTTTAAACTCAAGTGCACACATGTAATTCATGACTCCATACACACGAAGTTACACACATTACTGCCCGGGCTTATGCAACCTCACAGTCAGCCAGAATCAAAGGTTTCATTTACCAACTGAGGATCAGATGTAAAATTCTTCAGTACTGATCAGAGCAAGTGCCTACAAGCAGACATGGAGGTTCAGAGGAAAGCGTGTGTCAAGTGTGCGCTGAGGCATTTGGCCATCATGCAGTGTTGAAATTAGGGCCATAACACTTGCAGACAGCTTAAAGTATAAATGCAAACCATCCCTCTCCACACCTGCTCTCAGCTCTGATCAGATCCACACTCACCTCCACTTCAGATCATTAGAAATCTTCAAGGGATTGTGCTTAAATCCACCTTCTGGACGACCTCATGCTATCTCACTGCTACCTTGAACATGTCTACCTGATGTCGTTTACTACTGTACAAACCTTTCCTCCTTCATCTCACCACTTGCTCCTCTTTAACCCTCTACTTTCTGCCTGTTCTAGCTCTAGTTCTCTCCCTGGGGGTGAGATGAGCAGATGCGTAGCCTTGTCTTCTCCACACACACACACACACACACACACACACACACACACACACACAAAACACACATCTTTGACCTCATTTCTACAAAGAGGCCAGACTAATAGAGCCCATGAAAAGACAACAGCTGTACAATACAAATAAATACACAAAAGAAGAGGGGGAGCCTGTTTTCTTCTTCTGTAAAAGTGTACAGACATGCCAACAGCAGCATCTTTAGATGCACTAAAGTTTTAACTCACATTGTACTGTTTTGTAAAGCCTCAGTGGCTTCACAGATATAACATGAGTGCAAAACCCTCTAAAGTGAAAAAATTGGAATAATCCAAACAGCTGTTTGAACACATTTGCTTTTTTAAAAACTAATTTGGTTCAGAAATGGTCAGTCTTTAAGATATATTATCTGAACGTAATGGGAAGTGGACACAGAGTCAAGATTTTTCTGCCAAACTACAGTTTCAAAGGTCAAGAATGATCTTTCATATGGAAGTGTTTTCTTTATCATTTATTCACTGTTCATGGGCAAAATAGCTTCATCGACACTATATGTGAAACATTAAGTACAAAGTGCCAAGAACCTGATAATTTTGATACAAATTGTACCAAACGGTTATCTTGAACACGCACTAAAATGCCCACAGAAAGCAGATATACACACAAATAAATGGCTTGCATTTGTAAAAAGTATTTGGTGTGAGCTTGTGGTTTGGGAACCTGATGGGAGGACAAAGTGTGATTAGAAGTTAAACACAACCTCCCTGGAGCTCAACAGCGAGCTCGTCATCACAGCAAATTCATAATTTGGTATGATATCCAGGATTATTTTTTTCAGGAAACATCGTTTTTGATCATTGAAATGAAATACTTTTTCTAAGTTACATAGACTTTGACTAAAAAGCTTTCTAATTAATTCCTGACAGGTAAATTTTGTGACAAAGGAGATTTTCATTCAAAAGCATCATCTTTCAAAATGATTATACCCCAAAAACCAATCAGAAATGATCTCATTTCAAACAGGTGATGTCAGATGACTGTTTTCAACATAATACGGAACACAAATGATTTACAAATCGCTATTTTCAGTTTTAATTTTACATACCATCCCAACTTTTTTTCTGATGTGGGGTTGTATTTATTTTAGATTGTGCTTTGGTTTAGCACAAAGCCAAACGACATGCTTCAATCATTTTTCATCTAAGGCATCTGCCAGACTGGGATCAGTGCAGGTGTTGGCATTGTGCAAATATGAGGGGGAAAAAATACAAGGAGAAAGTGTCTTAAGCATGCCAAGAGCCAGGGGCAGGAATTAAATCCTCATTAGAATCTGGCACCACCACCACACTCCCCCTGTATGTATGTGTGTATCCAAGATTACGTGGCACACATACAACTACACAGTAGCATCCTGACTTGTTTGAAGATGACAAACCCTGGCCAAAGCGTTTTTCCCTCCATGTGCATGTCTCAAACAAGGGTAAGCAAAATGCTTTTTATTGATGAATCAGCTGTAACCAAGCATCATAGAAGCACAGTTGCATCCAATTCATTAGTCGTCTCATCTAACCAAGAAAGCATATAGAGATTTCCTAAAATGTTGACATATTCCTTTAAGTTTTAGTCTAATTCATAATGGCTGACCAGGTACAGCATATGTAAAATAACTGGATCACCTCTAAATATATAAAATGTCAGGCTATAATAATCAGGTTTCAGCTACTACATTCATATATTTCAGTTCATTTTCACCCATTAATTAAATACCAAGTCAGGTTATTGGTCTTGAAATAAATACTATGAATTCCACAGGGCACAGAAAACACCAAAACAATAAATAAATAAATAAATATATATACAGTTATAAGGGAAAAAAGTGACCTGTGACTAAAGCAAACATTTTTCTTCTTTCACATACAAACATATGTGCACATGGCATTTAATCACAGTGAATGAACAAATGTCTTGCTTAATGTGGTGTGCAAGTAGACAGGAACAAAGCTGCAGAGGCTCAACAACAACCAAAATCAAATTCCTCACTTATTCGCCTGTCAACTGGTTTGCAGACCAGCTAACTGCTTGGGTTGACTGTTTAATGGCTGATTATCACCAATCACATTCCCATAAACCGACAGTCTCTCAAGAATTCATGACTGCTTTATTAAGTGACCATCTTGTTTGCTTTTGATCTACTGCTCTTCTATATACTGTAATTTTGTGGGCAACGGACTACATAGTATTTGAATTCATATGCTCTCTAGCAACTAAAGTCAACAGGGCAGACTGACTACAAGCAGCAGTGTGAAGCTGTCCGACAAAGTACAGAGAAGAGATTGTTGTGACTCCACTTAAGTTAAAAGATGCAGCGTCTCGCCGACACGGTATTAAAAGCTGATAAATATTTCAGAACATAAGTTGACACATGGAACATGTGCTGTGGTTTCAAGAACCCTGTGCCCTGTTCTGTACATACACGTGTACCTCAGGTAGAAACAGGATGTATTATTAATGTTCGCTTTTCAGGCTATGAAACTGTGCAATTACACTTGGTCCAACAATATCTACAGTATGGGTGATACTTTCTGAGAAGGTGCACATAATGAACTTGTTCATTCATTCATCTTCTATACCGGTCAGTCCCAAACAGGGTCACAGGGGGCTGGAGCCAATCCCAGCCTAATGAACTTGTTACCACATGTTAAAATAAATAGCACTAAAATACATTTTAAACAGCTATGAAGTATTTTATGCTGTAAAAATGCAGAGAGAAATATGATGCTGAAGGAGAACCAAGTATTTGTACTGCAGCTCTGTTGATGACTATTCAGAGTGGATGTTGGTGAAAACCTGCTAAATATTTTAGGAATCTAAAAGTAGTGTGCGTTCCCCATATTCATTCAGCAGTGATGGGCCACAACAGCAAGAAACTGTGGGTACTGTTCACATTTTGGTGCTGCAACAGCATGTTTTGTGCGTCAAACTCTACTGTAAATGTAACTCACTGCCACCTGGAGCAAAGTAATTAATACCAGTCTCAGAGGCACAATGTCCCCCTCCACCCCCCCATCCCCCCCTACTTCTTTGCTCATAAGTAAAAGCTTTCAGCAGAAAACACCACTCTTTAATAATTTGTGTTCATGTGTCACCGTGCTGGCTGCGAGCACTTTTGGCTCTCAGATATGGCTGCTGATCTAACAAGCACACTAAAACACTTTCAAGAGAAATACACCAAAATGAGCATGACAGTTTAAAACAAGTTATCAGCAAAATGATCAGCTAACAGGAACACACTGAGACACATAAAATGGAAGAAAAATAAGATGTGAGCAACAGCCTGAAGGAGCAAGACGCTGCAATTATTTTTCTTTGTGGTCATTTTATTAGGCTCTCTCATTGTTTTGTAGCCAGTTTGCATTCTTTGCTATTGTGTTGTGTATCTTTGTGGCCATTTTGAATCCCTTTTTGTTCCTATAGCCATTTTGCATTGCTTTGTGGTCATTTGATCGACTTTCCAAAAAGAAAAGTTAATAGTCACATCACACAGTGGCCCCTGACCATCCATGCTCACTTGTGGTCTGCTGCATACATACTCAGAAACATAATATACATACTCTCACTCACACATATACACACACACACACAACCTGAGGCTGACAAGTGGTTAACATAACTTCATTGTGGTTGAGTAGCAACAACCTGTTTGGCACCAAGATATCCGACCTCCTCCACCATCCCCTCAGCAGGAGAGACAAGTGTGAAGCCTTCAACATCTGTGATTGCATATATTTATACATTTGTGCAGTGTGGATTCATTATGACAGCAGATGTGCGTCTGATGTCACCGTGTGTCTAACAGTCTAAATCCCCACCGCCACATCAGAACAGTTGTAGTAACACCTCAGGTCCCCAGTCCATGGCTGTCTGAGCCACAGCGAACACAGCTGCCCCGAGCGTAGCGGACAGCCCCCACACTGCCATCTTCACCATCCTGTTCCCTGTCCCCCACAGCTGGCCTCGACCCCGGGACAAAGCTGCTTCCAGGCCTGAGTGTTGAGAGCCTAGGAGCACAGATCAAGGAGGTGGTGTCAGAGGGTGAGGAGCAGGGGAATGGAGGAGTCAAGAGGATTCATAATGCTCAAAGCTGCACCAGAGGATTAAACTGCATTTTGTTAGTAGGACTAAAAACACAAAGGGGGTGAAGGAATGTCCAGACACTAGTGTATGCCTTTGTCTTTTTGTGTGAATCCCTTCTGAGTGTATGTGATCTAAATACCATGTCAGAAGGGAGTTCTATGCCAGCAACAATAAAAAGCACTTGGAAATATTAAATCTTAAATAAAGGTCCACTGTTTTGCTTTTGTTTTTCCCAAAATATTTCGACTGCATTTAAGTGCTTTCATGAGTTTCATCCAAGTTTCCTCAGTTGGACTTTTAATTGAAATTACTTTGTCCAACAAGAGAATGAACTTTCGCCCTCAATACTATACATTACACCAATGGTTCCCAAATTGGGTGCCATGGCACCTTAGGATGCAAGATTATCATTTTTCACTTAGTGTTTTTAATTACATGGCACATATTAGGAATGCCAATGTTAATAACAACAAACAAACAAAACAATATACATAATTAACACAAAATCTGTTAATTAAAAACGGTTTAATATGCAGTTATGCCACAGATAATAAAAACTCACTGTTGCTGGTTGTCACAGTAACATACTTTTTTTCAGGAGGAGCAAGCGAAGGGAAGATTTGGCACTGAAAGCAGCTCAAAGAAAAGCTCATACTTGTCAGCCTTCAACACAATCTGAGATATATTGAATCTGAGCCCACCGACAAAGCTAAAATCAGACTCAGTACTACCTGTCTAATGACCTAACAGACAGGTTGGCTGCTTGTGAAAGACAGGTATGCAGCGATGTCCCACAGTGTGTTAAATGTGCTGTTGCTCATTCCCAACATCACATATGTGGTGACAGACATGAGGGTTGTCCTCTCTGTACACATACTGTTGAATTGAGGGTTAGGTGGCTTGGGCTGCCATGACAAACAATTTCCTGTAAAGGGGTGCTGTGGTCTAAGAAAAAAAAAACTTTGGAAAGCACTGAATTAAACACTTAAGGATTGTAACTTTCAAGTCTACTGGCAACACAGCATTTATGACTGGCTTAACGTTTGGACACCAGCTCGCCCATCAGGCCTGCTGACTCACATTCATCTTCTCCCACAGTAAAATCAGAGCTGCTATAGATCGGCCCTCTGCCTGCTTGTTATGGACTTCATCTTGATGCTGCAAATTGAATTTTAATGAAACTGCAGGGGATGATGTGTATCAATTTTACTATTACATTATTTGGCCTGAGGGGAACACTACAACATATTTTTGATTGCCTGTACATCACAGACGGTGTCAGACAACAGATTTTTACAAAACCTACGGGAATGATGCACCTCTTTGTTCTGTTCTGGGATATTTAAATTTGCACTTGATTGGCCTGATGGGGGTGCTACAACATTTGTTTACTTGTTATTGATTGGCCCAAAGGGGAGCAACATTTGCGGGGGATGACATATTTACTGTTGCCTTGTTTTGATGAATTGTGGTCTCCTGTAAGGCACCAAAGACGTGGGGAACTGTCGATCCATCAAACGATTTTTTTTTTTTTTGTTGGATAGAAATGTTTGGTCTTATTATCTCACAGGCATCTATTCCCTACCTTCAAAGAGTACCCAACAAGAATTTACATTGTCTTCACCCACTGACAGATGTGTCAGTATGTAATAAGATTACAGTTACTATTTTTACCATGACTGGAGGTGGTGGAGCCTTGGGCTTTGGTGAGGCGTTGAAGAACAGAGTCTGGCCTTTGGTGGAGGGTGGAGAGCTGAAATGCCTGGAAGGTGCTGATGGATAGACTGAAGAAGGAAAACAGAGGAGGATAAGGTTGAAGAAGGAGAACAGAGTCTGGTCTAAGGTGAAAAATGAACAGATGGAATGATGTGACAAGATGGATAGAGGATAAACTGACTGATGAACACTGGTAAGGCGAAGGGTGAGAGACAATATGAGAGAAATGTTTACTCAGTAGCTCTTGTGCATAGGAAGCTATGCATTGTGGGACACTAGTATCTTTCAGCATTCGTCAAGGCCAAATGTTAGTGATGTCATTGAACAATGACCCTAAGGCAAACTGAAGGACACTGGCAAGGAGAGACAGCCTGACTGTGGGTGCAGGGAGAGCATGTAGTTTGGTCTCTAATGTTTCCTGCTTAGTAATAAAAAAGTGGAAAAATGGTCTCACACACACTAAATGGCCTCTGCATGTTGGCAGCACCACTGAGTTTTGATGTGTTCTATACAGAGGGAAATAACTCACACTGTAAACAGTCAGTACAGTATCTCACACTTGAGTCATGTGTTCTCATGAAATTATTGACCACAAACAGGTGCCATTTTTGACAACTGATTACTCATCCGAGTCATTTATCACGCAAAAATGCCAAACATTCACTGTGTTCACCTTCATATATTTAATGTATTTCTCTGTTTTCTATCATTGTAAATAGAATATACTTGGATTTTTCATTGTTGGTTGGAAACAAGTGACATGAAGACATCTGGGAAATTGACAGTTTACACAGACTGATCAGTAAGTCAATTAGCCAACTGGCAGATTAAAAGTGAATGAAATGAAAACAGTCATAATCGCAGCTCTCGAGAATAAGCAGTTGACTAAGAAAATACCATGGCACAAAGATGGCAAGCAGAAGAAAAAAAAAACAAGGATTTGGGTTTTGCCCATTTGTTTAGACACTTGGATGTAAACCTGACCATAGCAAGTACATTTTATTTATAGGTTTTAGTCAAAATCAAAAGTTTGTCCTGTATCACACAGGACACCTACTATCCTAAGACACTCAAGTTAGAGAAGGACAAATTCAAACATACAAATTAAATAAAGTATGACCCGTCATGACATCTTGTTGCCCCCTCACCTCTTGCGAGATTGCAGCGCTGCCCGTTTGGCCAGTAGTGATGGAGGGTACTGGTCAAACAGCTCCTGGGACTGGCCAATCAGAAGTTCATATGGGAGGTCCTGGGGGATGCAGGAGAGGAGGTGGTGGATCATAGCCATGTCGCACTCTGTCTGCTTCACCTCCCTCTCTCTATGCAACACAATCTGAGGAAAAGAGAAGAAGGGGTTGAAACTTTTTGCCCTGAAGCAGTTCACTCTGGTCAAACATGAATTTGATTCTACATATTGTTTATTAGATGGTTTCAGTTCGGCATGTGAGGCAGGGAGAGTGCTTACAAGTAAAAAGGCAGCTGAAGAGTTAAACCCCATGCTGAGCACTGCACCAAGCCTGGGAGGAAACATGAACTACATTCTGCTTTGTTGTTTCACACACTTCAAACAGCGCTCTCACCTCTGCCCAGCGCACACACACACACACACACACACACACACACACACACACTTTAACATTCTCAACTGCAAACAAGCTAAATGTGTACAATTATACACACTAACCCTTCAATAAAAGGCATCTTCTTCATATACACATAAACACCTAAACAAACAAGCATGCATGTACTGTAAATAAAAAGAATGCATCATTTCCATAAACACACATATCCATGTCCCAGTGGGAAGCATTTATGCAAAGTCAAGCAGTAAGAATGAAGGCAGGAAGTAGACAGAAGAGGCTAGTCCAGAGTGGAACAACAAAAAAGTCAGAGATATAAAAAGTGCTTTTACTTTGAAATCAAATTCTCTCCCAGTCCTTCTAAGTCAAGCATCAACCTTGTCTTTCCGTTTCCTGATGCAGTCCTCATCCTTTTTGTTTTTCCCTTTGTATCGCTGCCTCTATCCCTCCAATTCTCTGTACTCCTCTTTCATTCTCTCTCTCCCCTGTTCATTAAGAGGTATCTAATTTACTAGTCCAGTGACTTCACAGTGCCCTGCCTCTGTGTGTATGAGGTACATTTATTCATATGTGAGCGCCCTGGATTACTGACAAAAAACAAAAACAAAAACAAAAAGTCATTGTAGTTCATTTCCCGTTAGCCTTAACCCCTCACCGTAGCAGCGAGGTAGATGGGCATCAGTGGATGTGAAGCCAGGAAGAAGTCGTAGAGTCTGAGGGTGTGTCTGAACTCTGAGAGGACATGTCCGTACCATGTGATGAGCCAAGACAGAGCAAAGATGGTCCCCACCTCCGCTCTAAAATAAAAAGGCAGACACACAAAGTAAGGTAAATGTAAAAACACTTTAAAGAACATATATACCAATTATTATTCTATTTTTAGTCTTATAATTCATTCTATCATTTTTTTCAACAGTGCCGTGTGTTTCTTTTATATATCATCATCTTGACTTTTAATGTCATGTATTTTAATAAACTAGCCTTGCTTTAGTATTTTTGATTCAATGCTTCATATAATCTCACTGAGATTAAAAGTACATTTTAAGTGTGTTTTAGGAAGACTGTATTGCCAATAAGTTAAAGACTAATAACATAAAATAGAAAACTGATAAATACAATGGCCATTAAAAGTCGTATATAAATAAATTAGCATATCAGACTTGACATCCCGCCTTCCAGGCAGTCAGTGCTTTCGCGAATGTATGAAGATGAACTTGAAAAAAACTAAAACCCTGCTTGACAGCGATAATCCATCAGAGGGAGAATTTCTGTGAAAAATGGTTTTCCTACTGCAGTGAAATTAATGAAAACCAACAGTTGACCGGAAGGCAGTACTCTCAGAAAAGCTGTGATAAAACATACTGTATGTGCAATTTATAGTCCGTCACAAGATTTCTATCAATTTTTGTCATTTTAACTAGAAAATTGTCAAAATCATTGATCAGGAGGAAGTGGACAACAATCAGATGCCAACAAACCATCTCTGAGCTGAGACAGGAGTTGCAAACTAAAATTACACACCTGAGTGATTAAAAGCTTAAAAAGGTTCATAAGCAGACATCTGATTCTATATTATTTTGTCAAACACAAGTACAAGCGATCTCATCAAATCATTTCCATCCCTTTTAAAGGTTTGGCTTTATCCCAAGGCACTGAAACACTGGAGCTACGTGACTGTTTCATTACATCACATGGTTACCAAGCTATAAAGTTTTGCCCTTGACATAATACATATTTCTTTAGCTTCACATACTGTTCAGAACCTTCCTTACAATGTCCCTTAATATGTGCTTACCCAAATAGGTAGGTTTTTTTAACAGAGTCTCAAGGAAATTGAAGAATCTGCAAGGCTGTGGATGAATACTGGGTAGGAACATTCAGGGAGGAAGTGACAGAGGAAAAGATGTCTGTCTGAGTGACGGACAGGATTAGGGGCAAAAAGATGTACAGATAAAATAGTGGAAGTGAGATGAAACAAAGGATCAGGGAACAGGATAAAGAGAAGAGAATAAAAGAGGAAGAGATATAAAGGAAAGGTAAGAAGAAGAAAAAGTGCTCATGAAAAACAGCATTCCAAAATTTTGTTGTGTATCCTGCTGTTTTTCTGAGAGTGCAATGTCTTGCTTCTTTTGTCCTTTTTGTGTTTGTGTGAGCTTGTATGTGAGTCAATGCAAATATCAAGGCTGCCAGCACAGCATCAATTATGAAAATGTAACAAGACAAAAAAGGTAGTGAAGATGCAGACATACACACATTCGCATTAAAATACCTTAGATGGCAATTTATTGACCTGAATCCTGATTACACACACCAACACTATCCTGCAGTAACTGGTTGTTTTTTAACATGTTTGTTATTCTTATTTTAATAAACTGTAAACTGATTATTTTCATTAACCATTTTTGGCTGATTTCACCGCAGAATTTACCAAATCAAGGTAAAGGTGGTGCACACCTTGATGGGATTTAAAGGCATCTGAAACAGCTGTTGGACCATCTGTCACTAGAATGATCCAGTGAGACCACTAATGATGAACATTCACTTGTTCCAATTCAACCACAAAGCGCTCAGGGCTTTGTCTCACTGTGAAGTTCACAAGGAAAACACTCATATGCCCTCTAGTGGTTGTTACATTGCATTACTCTCATTTGTCAGTCCTACACTATGTGACTTGCTGTACAGTTTCCATTTGTTTTAGGAAATGGGAGCTAGGTAGGTGCTAGCTGCTACTGCTTGCAATTAACTGTACAATTAAAAAGTGTGTGTGTGTGTGTGTGTGTGTGTGTGTGTGTGTATGTATGTACCTGATCATGAAGTCATGTAGTTCTGTATCGACTTGTTCCAATATAGGCATCAGATAGTTTAAAATGTGTTTGGTGCTGTCCATGGTAGGATCCATGAAATCTCTACAGACAAAGACAGACAAGTTATATAAATATTACAAAATAATAATCATAACAATAATAACTACACAATCACATGAAATATGAAGAAAATATATTCCTAGAAATCACATATAATAGTGAAATGACACTAAATTCTAGATCAGGGGATTTCTCTTAAAAACTATACAACCTGAGGTGATATCTGGACAGTGTGTCCAGCATTGCAATGGCCATTCGCTCCCCAACTACCAGCAGCAGAGTGACGGCCACATCATGGTAGCCCTGGTAGTAGTGGAGCTGAGGGTTGCGTTTCAAAACCTCCAGTATGATGTCTATCAGCTGCTCCTGCAGTACTGCTCTCTCTGTGGATGGCATACCTGAGAGAGACCCAAGGATCATCAACCACACAGTGTTAAAACTTAAACATGGACAGAGCAGCATTATTGCAAAAGGCCTGCTAGTGAGTCTGTGTGTGCTGTTGTCTGTAATACTTGTTAAACAAGTAAATACATAAACCTAAAATCTTTACAATAAAAACAACACACCAAGTCATAATCCTGGAAAATGTATGTCATTATTGTGGATGGTTCTATAGTCGTGGCCAAAAATACTGGTGCCTCACATTTCTGTGAGATAACGCACCACTTCTCCCAGAAAACTGTTGCAATCACAGATTCTTTGGTATTTTCATGTTTATTTCTTTTGTTTGCATTGAAACAACACAAAAAAAGCAGAGAAAAAAGCCAAATCTGACACATTCCGCACAACTGCTATATAGTTATGTAAATATAGGTGCAGTTTGATAAATGGCATCCTGAGCTATACTACTATCTTTAAAGATAAACACACAAACCAAACACACACACCTTTAGGGAACCGCTTCATGGACCTTCTGACATCCAGAACTACCTGGTTGTAGTCTTTGTGGTTCTCCCTCACATCTCGGCCTACGAAAGAGAAACACTGATATTATAACTGCTATTAGAACAAACAGTAGTATTTCATCATTCCAGTCAATATTAGTATTGATCAACCACAGACCAGGTTTATGTGGTAGACCATACACATTGATGTTCAGCAGTTTGGGCCAGACTTTCCTCCTGAGTTCACCAGTGAGCAGCCCTCCCTTACTGGCTGCTGCTCTCCTCAGGGTCTCAATATCCACTGGATCTCTGTACAATACAAAGTCACAATTAGAGACTGCTCCCTATAATGCACAGCTTTAATGTTTGCCCACACTGCAAAAAAATCTTCATCTTAACCTGTTCTCATCTCACTCAAAAAAAAACTGCTAGTGTCTTTAAATTATTTATAAGGTTTCCTGCATCTGAAATGCAACATGATACGCGCCCACATGTGTGAACGCAAGTTGTCCCACATTCCTCCTGACACTGAAGTCTTCAGTGTCCACGTCACACTTTTGCTCTGGGCATGTGTGAGTAATCATCATGTGCGAAATTAGCTCAGTAAGGAGTGATGAAGGTTAATGTCTCTTGATAAATGTGTGCCATATTAATCTGGAAAACTGTGTAAATCTTAACACCCAATGTATTGTATTCACTGTGAAGGTGCTTGAAGATGTCTCCACTAGAATACCATACTTACATTTTGTGCATTTCAATGTAATTAAATCATTTTTTATCTGATATCTGAGGGTCTCATTATCCGTTAAAAAGCTCAAAGGTGTGCACCTATAGTGGTTTTAAAAGAGAAAACAAAATTTGCATTTAAAACAACTCTAATATGTCCCCCTGGGTGCAGTTCAGGGCAGAATGCATAAACAAACAAACTGTAACTGATGATATAATTTTAACCTGATCAAAGCCTGATGGATCTCAGCCAACTTCTGTTTCCTCCCACAGTCTGTTTCTGTAAAGGAAGGACAGGGATGGGAGGATAAGAAAAAAGGAACAGGAAAGGAAAAGGCAAGAAAGAGAATACGTGAGGAATAAATAAAAAAATAGAGCCATAACAGAGTGAAGGGAAGACAATGAAAAAACAGCATCAACAGACATTGGAAGGAGACAGAGACACAAGAAGTTGAAAGGGGGAGAAACAAAGAGAGAAAGATAAATGAGAGGAAAGATGTCGAGCCACTGACTGCCTAATCCTTTCACCTTCAGCTGAAAGAAATAATCAGCATACCATTAAATCACAACATATGTCTTTGTACTTATCTGTACATTATGCCTTGTGTGGTAACTTGCTATTTTTGATGCACTTTTTATTTAGATTTTTCTTAAACACAATTTGCACAGGCAGAAAAGATTTTAGGGGTTTCCTTGATATCTTTCATGTAAACAATGCCATCTGATCACAGTGAGTCACAAATACGACCATAGTTATGTAAATGTTATGCACTGAATTTAGTTCTAGAGTTTGAGTGGTTAAGGGTTAAGCAAAAATCCAGTGCTGTGTGATAAAATAATTTATTACAATTGTTTTCTGGCACAATAAATACAAGGACAATTTCCATCTGTTCTCTGCCTGGCTGACAGCTGTGAACTGCCCAAGTTGATTGACTGGCTGCCACGCAAGCAGCACTTGTTGATAAAGTGTACTCTCCCAAAACCTTTGTAAACAGACAGACAACGAGTAGATGCAGATTGACAGCGGACAACTTAATTAGTGCATCGGGCCACATTCAGTTTGTGTCAACCGGCTGTAGTATAGTATTATAGTTCAGTGATATTTCACCGCTTAGTTTAGACTGGTCAGGTTTCTCTTTGTGCACACAACCGGTCGGTAGTAATGAGTAATGCACAAACTGGTTCTGATGAAAGAACAAACTTGTGTTATTGGCCAGTGTACGTTTATGAAAAACTACCTAGCTATTGTGGTTGACTTAAGGTTACCTCTTGTGACAGAGCCATTTCCATTCACTCCTACTCCAGCGTTGTGTTTCTTCCTCTTGAGACTTTTCATTCTGTTTAAGAACTGTCTATCGAATAACTAGATTTATGCCGTGCCATAAGTGTATGAACAAGCAAAACTTGTGTCTCAAAACTGTTAAAATACCATTACTATCTGCGACGACGAGACAAACAGTCGCTACTAAGCTCCGAAGGGAGCAACCTACCATGAGATCGTCCTGCTACACTGTAATTGGTCAGAGAGGACATGTGACCCAGTGCAGAAATGCCATTGGCCTTCATTCGACTCGTAATGAGAGCGGACTTGGCTGCAGTTTTGTAGTTCTTAAGTTTGACAAATTGTGGTTTCTTTTATTTTAAGTTAGAAAAAATCGATTGCCTTTTTAAAAATGTGGTTAATTTTTTCCACTAGGTGACAGTAAAGCGCTATAACTATACAGCTGAAACATGGAATATATCAATATACTATTGTTTCAGTATTCAATAATAAATGGGTTTATTTTCATTAACTCAAATGATTAAAAATGTCTTTTCATCTATCAATGGATGGATTACTGAACAGGCCTAAAGTTCCAAAGCATTAGGGGGCCCCTGTACTGCAGCCTCTATTTGTAATGATTTTTAACATTTCTCGTTGGAAAGTCAATCCAAAATGTATAAAAAGATGCAAACAACCACAAGAAAGACAAAATGACTATAAGGAGACACACGCGAACAAATAGTCTAAACAAACAAACAAATAAATAAAGTATGCACATACTATACTCGTCTTACCCTGTCAAAGCAGATAAGATTATGGTACAAAATTTGTTATGTTATAGTATGTCGTGTTATGTATTGCTATGCCAAAAGTTCCGATTTACAGTGGTTTGTGCCCATTTAATAAAGAAAACGTTTTTAAAAAACTGAATTTGTAGAACGGCTAATAGGAAAAGATTTGCGACTTGGCTCGTTGCGACTTGGCTCGAAAGGGGGATGTTAGCTGAAAAACCACAAACCTGGCAACCCTACTGACAATTGCACCTTGAGTAGTAGCGGTGAAACGCGGTCTTCATTAGCAGCGTTGACGCGAATTGAGGCGACTTAGGACGTTACTGCTCTCTTTGTAAGGATACGCAGAAGAACGGAAAGGAACCAAATGACAGCAGTTTAATCGGCAATGTTAGGCAGGTAAAAAACTGCGTGACTGTAGCCGCGACATGAGTGACAAAGCCGAGATGAGAGGGCCCATAACTCGCTGGAGGAGGACGACCGTCACCGGCGGTGGAGCGCCCAGCGTGAAGCAGGCGAACGGGACTAAGTGTCACGATGTTGGGAAGAAACTTCCACAGTATATCGGTGAACCCAATACAGAAGCCGAGGTATCCGGACCTGCAAGTACCAACGGGAAGGTGGACTGGGAGATGGGGATGTCACGGCCGCCGCAGCCCCGACGGCCGCCCCACA